GAAAGACTGTAATAAAAACCAGGCTGGGTGTGCCAGCACAAGAGTTCCTGTTTTAACCCTCAAAGTGAAGTGTCGTCTCATTATTGGGGGAAGGATTTATTGTATGCTGTTCCAGTTTGACTGCTAGGAGAGTAAACCTATTCGTATGGTTCCTATTCAACTGTCTACAACATTCATATGCTTGAGAGCATTCATATGCTTCTCCGATTCGGTGGTTGTGGTGTCTGCTGCAGTGCTTGGAGTCCTCAGGAAGCGCTAGGAGCATCCTTCAGTACCCAGTCGGGGTGCCAGGTGATCCGTTACATTGGTGGCAAGCGGTGGGATGGTGTCCTAGTGCGAGGTAAAGCAGCTCAGAGACACAGTTCGTTCGGAGTTACAAAGTGAAGGCAACGCTAGTATCCGTACAGTGACCCTATCTACAAAAGAACTAACTTCAGCAGAGCAAGCATGGCGTATGACTACAATCAGGAGGAGTTTGACAGAGAGGTTAATGAGGTGCTGTCTAACTTTGGACCCATCCCCCCAGAGAGAACCGTGCAGCTCGCCAGGAAACTAGTAGGAGAATACCTGCAATCTCTAGTAGATTTGGCCAAAAAGGAGTCCCAGGGAGCCAAAGGTGTTGTCCTTCCTCCCCAGCGGCAGTGTGTACCCCAGGGAGCAGAAGGTGTTGTCCTTCCTCCCCAGCGGCAGTGTGAGTCCCAGGGAGCCAAGGTGTCGTCGGCCTTCCTCCCAAGCGTGAGTGTGTCCCCAGGGAGCTGAAGGTGCAGTCCCTTCCTCTCCCAGGCGGTGTAACATCCCAGGGGGAGCTGAAGGGTGTGCGTCCTTCCTCCCAGCGGCAGTGTGTGTGTCCCAGGGAGCTGAAGGGTGCCGTCCTTCCTCCCCAGTGGCAGTGTGTATCCCAGAGAGCTGAAGGTGTGGAGTCCTTCCTCCACAGAAATGACAGTGTGTACCCAGGGCAGAAGGTGCTGTCCTTCCTCCCCAGCGGCAGTGTGTATCCCAGGGAGCTGAAGGTGCAGTCCTTCCTCCCCAGCGGCAGTGTGTATCCCAGGGAGCTGAAGGTGCAGTCCTTCCTCCCCAGCGGCAGTGTGTATCCCAGGGGGCTGAAGGTGCAGTCCTTCCTCCCCAGCGGCAGTGTGTATCCCAGGGAGCTGAAGGTGCAGTCCTTCCTCCCCAGTGGCAGTGTGTGTCCCAGGGAGCTGAAGGTGCAGTCCTTCCTCCCCAGCGGCAGTGTGTGTCCCAGGGAGCTGAAGGTACAGTACTTCCTCCCCAGCGGCAGTGTGTACCCCAGGGAGCTGAAGGTGCAGTCCTTCCTCCCCAGCGGCAGTGTGTATCCCAGGGAGCTGAAGGTGCAGTCCTTCCTCCCCAGCGGCAGTGTGTATCCCAGGGAGCTGAAGGTGCAGTCCTTCCTCCCCAGCGGCGGTGTGTATCCCAGTGTGTGTGTAATCCCAGGGAGCTGAAGGTGTCGTCCTTCCTCCCAGCTGCAGTGTCCCAGGGAGCCAAGTGCCCTTCCTCCCCAGCTGCAGTGTGTACCCCAGGGAGCTGAAGTCACAGCCTCCTCCCCAGCTGCAGTGTAAATTCCCAGGAAGCAGTGAGACCCGCCTGTCTCGCACCCCAGCCGCAGGACAAAATATTGAAAGTGGAGACAGTTGGTCCCCCTCTCCACCAGCAAAGAGAGTGTCAGGGAGAGGAGCCTGATACCCCCTCTCCCCAGCGGCAGTCTACAGTTCAGAGAGAGGAGCTTGTTACACCCTCTCTCCAGCGGCAGCCTAACCCACCAAGGGGAGATGTTAAGCCCCACAACTATGCAGATGGCACTGTAGTCTCTGCACTTGCACAGGTGTAAATTTCATTCCTGGGCTACTATACAGTCTCAAAGGCAATGTAACCAATCTGTCGAATTTCAATTTCAAATGTAACGTGCTATATTTGACCCTGTAACTTCCCAAAACACCATAAAACCTGTACATAGGGGGTACTGTCTTACACGTGAGACTTTACTGAATACAAATATGTGTATTTTATTGCAGTAAAGCAAACAGTATTATGACACTGACCGTTAAAATGTCATGTAGAACTAAAAAAATTTAAAAAAATCGTATTTTCTCCCATTTCATGTTAAATTATGTTTCATAGCTAAATATTTGATATTAAATGAAAGCCCTGTTTCCCCTGAATAAAATGATATATAATAAGGGTGGGTGCATTTACTATGAAAGAGATGAATTACGGTTGGACAGACATGTAGCGCAAATGCCAGGTTTTGTTTACATTTTGTTTTGTTCACAACGTGTACATTTGGCTCCATCCTTAAGGGGTTAAAATATGTACCAATATTATGTTATTGATACGAGCCTGCGAGCCTAAGCATTATTTTGTTCACACCTTAATAAAAACTGATTCACCAAAACAACACCTCCCACTGTCACCGGCATGAGCAATGGACATGGGGCACAAGCGCTACTCCCAACCCAAGGCTGGTACCAGCAGACACACTCCTGGCCGGCAGGTACCCAAGCATTTCACAGCGTGAAACACAAGGAAGCCAGCCGACCAAGCACGGCTGCAGGAATGACCAAGCGACTGCTGGATTTTACTTATGTAGCCCCCCACAGAAAGCACTTAAAATGACTAAGCTTACATATGTACCCAACTCGACAAGCCAGCTCTCCGCTGTTCCCTGGTGGTTAAATCTAATCAGTATATAGAAAGCTGTAACTGATGTTATCTTGCATAGCCTGTAATCCAACATACTTAAACCATACTAATTTCTAGCTCCATGTTAATAGTGAGCATTAGTGATTTCGCGAACCCGAAATTTTCGGTTCGCGAACGGCGAACGCGAACTTCCGCAAATGTTCGCGAACCGGCGAACCGCCCGAAACGCCATTGACTTCAATGGGGAGGCGAATTTTAAAACACACAGGGACTCTTTCTGGCCACAATAGGGATGGAAAAGTTGTTTCAAGGGGACTAACACCTGGACTGTGGCATGCCGGAGGGGGATCCATGGCAAAACTCCCATGGAAAATTACACAGTTGATACAGAGTCTGGTTTTAATCCATAAAGGGCAGAAATCACCTAACATTCCTAAATCACAATCAATATGGATTGACACCTGACATATGACATATTGACACCTTGACATATGGATTGACACCTGTCCTCAGAGCCCCTGATGCACACGGACACAGAGCAGAATAGAGACTGGTCCCCCTACATAGGGTCACTTGGCAGATATGGATTGACACCTGTCCTAAGGATCCCTGATACACACTGACACAGAGCAGAATAGGGACTGTTCCCCCTACATCGGGTCACTTGGCAGATATGGATTGACACCTGTCCTAAGGTTCCCTGATACACACTGACACAGAGCAGAATAGGGACTGGTCCCCCTACATCGGTCACTTGGCGATATGGATTGACACTGTTGCTGCAACTGTTGGTTTGTAACGCCCTTAATGGCAAATTGCCCCCTACTTCCCCACAGTGGAGAAGCTTCATTTGCCAGCCTCCTCCGCATGACTATGGCCCCTGGGAGATTGTGGAAATGTATGCACTTTATTTGGTGTGTATGGCCCTTAAGACCGTCGGTGGGCATTGTGGCTTATGGACTCTTTTATGCATCTGGCGCGGCCCTTAAACACCTTTTGGGACATCAGGAAGATTGGGACTGCTCTTTAAGGCCGTGGTCCCCAGACTTCTGTTGGGACACTGCCCCTTTAAGACGGTGTCCCCTGTGTCCCCAGACCTGGTGCAAAACCTTTGTGCCTGCCTTGCTATTTCCCACTTGGTTCAGTAAATGGGAAATTATTTCAGCTGCAGAGACTAAGTCCCATTCGGCCATGGGACTTAGTCTTTTTTTCAGCCGTTTTTTTCAGCCTTATTTCAGCTGCAGAGACTAAGTCCCATTCGGCGATGGGACTTAGTCTTTTTTTCAGTCGTTTTTTTCAGCCTTATTTCAGCTGCAGAGACTAAGTCCCATTCGCGAGGGACTTAGTCGCTTTTTCAGCCTGAAATAGACCGACCTCACAGCCCAAATCTATGGAACTGTTTTGGGCAGGAAAATGTGCTTGCGGTCGGTCATAAAGGGACCTCCAGCCAACTTTTTAACCCCTGGATGGATTTGGCTGATTTTTGGTTATGTTTATGTTTTAAGTGTGCTGATTCCAAATATGTAATTATGAAGATGGGATGTGTAGTTTTAAAGTTACAGGGAATGGCTAAAAACTGTATTTTTACTGCCTGTGCTTAATTATGTTAATCTCTTCCCAAACGTCATTTCGTTCAAAGTGGAGAGAATGTTAAAAAAAAATATTTTTGTTCGGAGTGTGAGAAATGCTTTTCAGCCGCTTCTAATCTTAAGCATCATTTGAGGAGCCATACAGGAGAGAAACCTAATTAGTGGTGTGTTTAGTATTGTTCTGATCAGTTTAATACCT